GGATAACGGGATTGAGTGCAGGGACGACATAGATAATCCCGGATAACTCCCACTAAACAATGGCAGGGACGGACAAATACCGTAATAGGGAGGAAAGTGAGAAGGGGTGATAAAAGAACAGATCAATAAGAAAAACGCGAATGCTTAGGTGGAAGGCGGCTTATTTGATCAACGTGTCAACACATTCATCAAACTTCACAACTGACTGGAATGTACAATTTTATTTTTTTTTTTAGCGTCAGATATAGCAAGGAGTAAATAGAGGTCGTCTACCATACACGCATACACGCACTCGTACGCCAAAAAATGCGTATAACACACTTAACATGTAGACACGAATGTATGCGCCTACAGCTGTATACATATTACTGGTGGATACAGTACATGAATAACCATCTAGACGGGACAGTGTTGAGTAATTTGAATTATTACCTGTTTTTTTTAATTATGCCAAAATAACACATACGACCAATAAACTAATTAATTCCACCAATTCTGGTTCCACCTAAAAAAAATATCGAATAAAAAAATAAAAACGCGGAGAGAAAAACTGAAAGTGTATCACATTGCTGCAGTAGCATCCGTTGAAGGGCATTGACAGCACTAACAGCGCACAACCACCTCCAGCAGCACAACCACCTCCAGCAGCGGCATCAGGTTCAACCCCACTAGCACCTCCAGCGGCAGGATCACCACCACTACCAGGAAGGACCACCAGGATACAAGCCTCAAGCATCACCACCACCAACACGAGCGGCGATCAGCAGCAGCAGCAGCAGCAGCAACAGCAACAGCGGGAAGATCAGCGGCATAGACCGCAGCTGCCACAGCGGTTGCCACAACGCGACAGCGGTAGCAACGTGTTACGGAAAACTTTGCAATCCGAATCGATAGTTTGGACCATCTTATAATATAATTCAGTCACAGGCTAACGGGGACTTGTGTGATCGCGAGGAGAGAGAGAGAGAGAGAGAGAGAGAGAGAGAGAGAGAGAGAGAGAGAGAGAGAGAGAGAGAGAGAGAGAGAGAGAGAGAGAGAGAGAGAGTCCTATCGCCAGTAGTACACACAATGCTTACGTCATCATCTTCGTCGCTGAAAAAAGTAACATAAAGTAGCCCAGTTTTGTAACAGTTGTAGCGGTAAGTATTAATGAAGGTTTCAGAACACCAGCACCTCCCCTTCAGGTATCACCAACCTGTTCATTAGTGTAGTTCTGGTACAGATTATTTCCACGATTTTTTTTTCGAAATTGCAACCTCACTACTTCTCATGTTCCATACATACTATTACGTGGGTTTTTGTGATCTATGATATATAAAGTACTCACATATTGGAGCTACACACACACACACACACACACACACACACACACACACACACACACACACACACACATACAGCGTAAGATCAAACCAGCTTCCACGAGAATTCGATCCACACTAAACTTTGCGCCTGGAAAATAATAATTCAGAAATGAACCCGCAATTTGGGTCTAATAATTTTGTGTTGAGTCTGAGTACAAGTGTTAAGCAGCACTTAAGGTGGGGTTTCAGCATACGGCCGAGCAGCAACGTTCGTCACGATGATTGGTGGGTAGAGTGTCGCTAACGGCCACGATTGTCGTCGGGAGCCCCGGCTGTTACTCCATTTTTAATTTAGAATCAGTAGCCACCTTTGGTGTACCGACGCTGTTCTGAAATCCTCCATACGCCCTAGGTCACTACATGTCAATTTATTTATGATTTTTTTATTTTCAGTCTGGCGTAGGGTGAAGAGGGGTAAAGGTATATCACAGTTACGCAATATTGTTAATATTTAATCTATTTTGCCTGAGACTGTTAAAAATGAAGGTTTGGGTTCGCTGTATTGTCATGGTTAGGGAGTTAATAGTCCCGAGTCAGGGGGGAAAATTATATGTCTGTAAATTTACTCCCCTAACCTCAAATTTGTGTCTTACCAGCCTCTTCCCACAGTTTGGACAGGAGTGGTGGGTGGACCACCAGTCTTGTTATGCTAGTTATGGCCCTTGTAGGGAAGGGGGGTCACAACTCGTAAATGGCCCTTACAAGAGATGGACCACTACTCATGACCCTTACAAGAGATGGACCACTATTTATGGCCCTTGCAAGAGATGGACCACTATTTATGGCCCTTATTGGAGGTGGACCATCCCTTGTTGTTAGTCATTATGTCATGGTTCTTTTGCAGAACATGGATTATTCCTGCCATAGCCCTTGCTAGATGTAGTTCACCCCTGCCATAGCCCTTGCTAGATGTAGTTCACCCCTGCCATAGCCCTTGCTAGATGTAGTTCACCCCTGCCATCGCCCTTGCTAGATGTAGTTCACCCCTGCCATAGCCCTTGCTAGATGTAGTTCACCCCTGCCATAGCCCTTGCTAGATGTAGTTCACCCCTGCCATAGCCCTTGCTAGATGTAGTTCACCCCTGCCATAGCCCTTGCTAGATGTAGTTCACCCCTGCCATAGCCCTTGCTAGTTGTGGACTAGCAGAGACAAAGCACATTAATATAAAACCGAAAAATATAGAGATCCCCACCAGAGGTAAAGTACCCGCCGAACCAATCATTCCATAACTCTGGCAGGCAACGAACCACTCTACTCACGTCTATAAGCTACGAACTATTAGCGTCTTAGTTGAAACAAGGGGGGTTTGCGTGTGCTCTCGCGTGCGCTCTACCGCTAGGGGTTGCGTGTGCTCTCGCGTGCGCTCTGCCGCTAGGGGCATCGTTTGTTAGGAGAGGGGTCTCTCTCTCTCTCTAGACATATAGTCCTTTTCAACCCTACTTAACTCACCATCTCCCAAAACATCACTTACGATCAAGCTAATAGATTGATAGAGGTTGTGATTCCTTGATAACCACGAAAGCTATATTAAGACTTAATTTAACTAGTTAACACGCAAGTTGTGTTACATTCTATTTGGTTAATATTATTATCTTATATTGATTTTGTTTTTGTTACATATTATTATGTATTGATTTGCATTTGAATGTTCATGAAAGCAAGATTGACGATACCCTAATTCTAAATGAATTTCTCTTAGTGTAAATGTTAGTCGTTGTAAATGATTAATATTTACTGTTGTCGTATCGTAAATATGGTAATATTTACTGTTATCGTAGAATCGAAGACTGTTTTTCAATCGGTCTACGATTCAGTTGTAGACTGTTCAGCTTGCTAATCAATAAACAAGATGCGCTTGTTTATTGATTAGCTTCAAACACAGAGTACTTAGCATAAGCAACTGATGAACTGCATGATACGTTTTTGACAACAACATTTTTCTACTTTGAGGAAAAACTTTTATTGTATGTCCATTTAATTTCCAATAAAATTTCCCGGGACTTGAGTTATCTATCTAATGGAGATGAGCAACTATGCAGAGCCCCGTCGCTCTGTGTCTCCTGCACAGTGCCACAGCAACTGTGGCACCAGTTACACGGACGCATGAACGACATGATCACTTATCACAGTAGAGTATATTCTCTTTTCACGAAAATAATTGCTATCGTTGATAACGTCTGTGGTACAGCTTTCTGCTTCTATTGGTGATTCTAGTTCCTCTTGACTGTGTTAGTTACACTCCCAGCATACCACTTCTCCACGGCACTACCTCTGACTGTGTCAGCTCTACTCCCAGCATACCTCGGCTCCATGACTCTACATACACGAGAGGTCTTCATATACTGCTTCTTCCGGTACATGACAATGCGAATCAAGAGTATTAAAAGTATCCCCGTCAAGTTTACACTCCCTATACGTCAACTTTTAACTTTTATACCAGGAATCCCCTGCTATCCGGTCATGGCAACCGACGATTTTTTATTTTTTTTTTGAGATTGATCGACATGTGTTCGTTGCTGGGGGTGTCGATCGTGGCAGGCGACGGGGTTAAGTTTGGCCAGATCGTCTCCCCCTCTCGACATTTAACGCTCGTTTGAGCAGTGAGGCGACTGAGACGAGGTAACCCGCTGCTGTGAGTTCCTAAGAGTGTTCATTATAAACTACCCAAACACAAGGGATGTTTAGAATTAGGTACGTTTAGGTGGTGACGAAAGTTATCGGGGCACTTTGAAGATTACGCAACGGAAATAGGGTTAAGACAACATGCATTTCGTAACGTGACAACTGATATATATATATATATATATATATATATATATATATATATATATATATATATATATATATATATATATATATATACATATATATATATATACATATATATATATATATATATATATATATATATATATATATATATATATATATATATATATTATATATAACGAAACACGACGGAATGCTGGAACCCAATATTCGTGACACACAACCTCATCAGCGTGGTCACACTGACCCCCTCGGCCGCCGTCGGCGCCTTCCCTCGCTCCCCCGACAGAAGAACACGCTGGCAGGCGGTGTCCCCGAGGCTCCTGGCCACCCACCTGCCACCAGCACGCACCCAACGCGCGCGGAAATTTCGATGCGGAGTGTTAGGTGGGAAGGGTGAGGCCAGGGGTGGATGAGGGTGATGCCTGGGGTGGATGAGGGTGATGCCTGGGGTGGATGAGGGTGATGCCTGGGGTGGATGAGGGTGATGCCAGGGGTGGATGAGGGTGTTGTGTTGCAGAGGCATTGATCTCCCAAGACTTGTGTCACTTAACCCAAGTGGCTAAATAAGTGGTCACTGTTGTTTTGCTATGAACACGCCGGGGTTGGTACTAACGCTTGCACTTAAGCAAGACATCAACGCAAATCTTGCTTCAAACTTTGGTAATGACAACGTGGGGAAATAAATAATATTTTCATACTATCACGTTCCTTAGGATGAAGATAGTAGAGAACTTGTTTATACATAGTGTCATAGAGGGACGGTATAGTGTGGGTGGTGGGCGCCCTCCACGTGCCCGGGTCGGGACTAGGGCAGTGCCACCAGTGCCACGGTCAGCCTGGCACTGCCGTGACCCTCCACGTACCTGTTGCCAGAACTGAGCCAGGAGGAAGATTCGTTCCTTCTTGAAGAGCCAATCCATGGATTGGAAATTGTGTAGGGCTGCCATGTCCTTGCCGGGGGTGTCGCCCCCCGCGCCGCCTTGGGCGTCAGGCCCTGGCGCCGCCATGCTGCCCAGGAGAGGGTGAGGAGCCACGGTGAAACCGCCCAATCCGCCCGCACCCACCCACCCGCCGCCCACCTCCGGGGCTGAACTCCCCTCAGACGCTGCCACCTTCACGACTGTTTGGCGCTGCGTAGCAGCAGAAGCAGCAGCAGTAGTCACAGCAGTTATCAGCGGGCGTGCTGCATGGCGTACACAGTTGTCACTTAAGTGTTGTCACAGGGGGGGGGGGGGGGGGGGGATATAGTAGTGATGGTCACCTGGGGGTGCCAACACACGGGCCACCACGTCACACTAGTACAGGCCGCCCGACACACACACACTGCACGCGCGTCTGGCACACACACACTGTGGCACAGCGGCGACACACGGCGTTGTGTGCGCTGCGAGAGGGTCTCTCTCAGACTGGAGTCGACTTGTTGGTTCGCGCTCGCTAACGCCGCTAGTCCATAGTCGCCCGCTGCTGCCCCCTGGCGGCCAGGGCAGGGGGCGGAGCCTGGCACCTCGCCGCCCACCATTGGTGCAGAGGGCGGCGGCGGGGCGGGCCGCCCGGCCACCTCCTCACCACACTCATTTATTGCCGCCCATGTATCACACCGCACACACTCTCTTCCTCTCAGCCGCCCACACCACACACACACACACACCCGCCGCTGCCGCCGCCACCACCGCTGCTCGCTGCCTAATACCGAACGCCACATGCCTTCCAAACACACACACACACACACACACACACACACACACACACACACACACACACACACACACGCACGCACATCCCATATACAAGTTCTACGAACATGTGGATGACATCCTGGACAATATCCTATCTCTCCAGATTCTGTCATCCGTCACTACACACTCTCCTTCATCCGTCAACATGGGATTCTTACTTTACACGTTCCCGTGTCCATGTCCACGCTAACTCTACATATTCCTGCGTCGCTAACTCTACATCTATCTGTGTCGCTAACTCTACATGTTCCTGTGTCACTAACTCTACATCTACCCATCTCGCTAACTCTACATCTATCTGTGTCGCTAACTCTACATGTTCCCGCGTCACTAACTCTACATGTTCCCGCGTCGCTAACTCTACATGTTCCTGTGTCACTAACTCTACATGTTCCCGAGTTGCTAACTCTACATGTTCCTGTGGCGCTAACTCTACAGGTTCCCGCGTCACTAACTCAACATGTTCCCGCGTCGCTAACTCTACATGTTCCCGCGTCGCTAACTCTACATGTTACCGTGTTGCAAACTCTACATGTTTCCGTGTCGCTAACTCTACATGTTCCCGCGTCGCTAACTCTACATGTTCCCGTGTCGCAAACTCTACATGTTCCCGCGTCGCTAACTCTACATGTTACCGTGTTGCAAACTCTACATGTTTCCGTGTTGCTAACTTTACATGTTCCCGTGTCACTAACTCTACATGTTCCCGTGTCGCTAACTCTACATGTTACCGTGTTGCAAACTCTACATGTTTCCGTGTTGCTAACTTTACATGTTCCCGTGTCACTAACTCTACATGTTCCCGTGTCGCTAACTCTACATGTTCCCGCGTCGCTAACTCTACATGTTCCCGCGTCGCTAACTCTACATGTTCCTGTGTCGCTAACTCTACATGTTCCTGTGTCGCTAACTCTACATCTACCCGTGTCGCTAACTCTACGCACTGTGAACTACTGGCGCCTATGAACTCTACTTTGACGATATATTCTACAAGCCGTCTTCCTTATCGTTATATATCCTTCCTTATCCTCGTTCTGTATCGTCGTATTTACTCCTTATCTTTATATCCTTCCTTTTCCTTATTTCCTCCTTGCTTCTGAATATGCTTCCTAATATTCTTATATCCCCCGCTTCCTAATGTGGTTCCTAATTTCCTTATATCCCTTTGCTTCCTGATTTTGTTATCCTCTCACTTCCTAATATCCTTATATCCCCTCGCTTCCTAATATCCTTATATCCCCTCGCTTCTTAATATCCTTATATCCCCTCGTTTCCTAATATCCTTATATCCCCTCGTTTCCTAATATCCTTATATCCACTCTCTTCCTAATATCCTCTCGCTTCCTAATATCCTTATATCCCCTCGCTTCCTAATATCCTTATATCCCCTCGCTTCCTAATATCCTTATATCCCCTCGCTTCCTAATATCCTTATATCCCCTCGTTTCCTAATTTCATTATATCCTCTTGCTTCCTAATTTCCTTATATCCCTTCGCTCCCTTATATCCTTATAACCCCTCCCTTCCTAATATGCTTCCTATTATCCTCCCTCGCTTCCTAATATCGTTATCCCCTCGCTTCCTAATATCGTTATCCCCTCGCTTCCTAATATCGTTATCCCCTCGCGTCCTAATATACTTCCTAATATCCTTATATCACCTCGCTTCCTCCTTATCTCTATTTTCCCTTCGCAAGCTTCCACAGCGCATCTTACACATCTCTGTTTTCCATCTCTGGTATATCAAGGTTTCTCTTATCTCTCTCCCTCTCCTCTCTACTGCCGCCAATTTTCCCTATCTCTTCCACAGCGAGTCTTCCTTATACGTACATCTTCCTCCCTACCACTGACCGTCTTCCTGAACCTTGTAGTCTACTTCTTTCACAGAAACATATTCATTATATATTCTGACCTTATATAGCATTTCTTACTAATTTTCCTACTCCACATCTGGTCAGCCTGTGTCCTCCTGCGATGTTTGTCTCTCTCTACATCTGGCTCACTTCATATTTACACACACTACATCTGGATGGCTTCATATTTACACACACTACATCTGGCTGGCTTCATATTTACACACTCTACATCTGGCTGACTTCATATTTACACGCACACTACATCTGGCTGACTTCATATTTACACGCACTCTACATCTGGCTGGCTTCATATTTACACGCACTCTACATCTGGCTGGCTTCATATTTACACGCACTCTACATCTGGCTGGCTTCATATTTACACACACTACATCTGGCTGGCTTCATATTTACACGCACTCTACATCTGGCTGGCTTCATATTTACACACACTCTACATCTGGCTGGCTTCATATTTACACACACTTGTAAATATGTGTGTTATACATATTAAACTTTTACGCTCTACAGCTGTTAAGTGATCTTACATTTCACACCATCTCACTCGACATCTGCCTTACCCCTCACTCCACACCTGCCTTACCCCTCCCTCCACACCTGCCTTACCCCTCCCTCCACACCTGCCTTACACCTCACACTCATCTTGATTAAGGTAGCGCATAGTTTACTTTAGGCTCAACAAAACAACTGATTTTATTACGGGCTATTCATGCCCGTGCCACCTCCTGGGTGGCTTAATCTTCATCAATCAATCAACTGATTTTGAGAAAGTCAGCATTCTTTTCCAGCGTATTAGTGTGGCGGTCCAGAGAGGAGATGCCCACTACACCCCTGGTTCCCTCCCGTTATTAGAAAAATATTGTATTTGTTGCTCTGTTTCTGTGGCCAATCTATAGTGTAACTAATAAATTGTGTACACCCCCCCCCCCCCCCTTCCCGTCGAAAAAAAAAATTATGGTGGCAAGATAAGACCATATGTAATTTTACTCTTTTCTTCGAGCCTAACAGATCTCGTCATTCCCCCAGAGCCCAAACGCTTTCGTTTAAAATGCGTTATCAAGGGTGACCACATAAGGGGGAAATATAAGTCCAGTACCAGGCCAATATAACGCTTGATATTCACGCAAAACTTCAGTATGTAAATTAATCACTAATGGGATCGAACCCGCGGAGATGAGCTCCTCGAGCACATGCACAACCGACTGGACCCTGATGGGACTAAACACATCTGCACCAGCAGTACAACTTGACTCACAAGGATCCGATGCCATAATCCAAGTGCGCGTCCCTAAGCCCCTCAGGAACGCAGGTTAGATCCCATTGTACTGCAACAATGCTTATCCGCAGTGGTATGGATACAGAAGCGCGTATACTGTGAGGTCGAGATACCACCATACCAGTGTGCGTATATTGCGTAATATACGTCACATTTAGCAACAAGGGTTCCTAAATAACATGGCAAAAAGATGTTCTATGTTGAGCATGTCAACAGTAACCAGGCTAACTAACTAACGGTTTATACACAGACCATTGGCGAATCAGCGAGTGTATATTTGTCATACAGAATCCATAATCCGAATGGAGAGTATACTGATCATGCTTAGACCACAAACAAACCGGAGAGTATACTAATCATACACAAACGACACTGTTGTATATGCACCACACGACGAATACTGCTCAGCCAGTGTATGCTCGAGAAGTTGTGGCTGGGCGTCCGAGCGGGAGCCGTGGCTGGGCGTCCGAGTGGGAGCCGTGGCTGGGCGTCCGAGCGGGAGCCGTGGCTGGGCGTCCGAGCGGGAGCCGTGGCCTAGCGTGACTATCCCCAATCTGTTCTCACAACTTAACAAGCGTCAAATTTGAAGTGCTTTCGCTCAACCAGAAGCGAACAGACCTCACCTGTGGAGCCTCGTGCTCATTAGTCGTAGGAAGCGTCCGTACTGCTGTGCTAACCCAACCCCAATACCAGCGTTTGTTGGCTGTTGTTGTTATAAATTCAGCTACTCGGAACAAGTTCCAAGTAGCACGGGCTATGGTGAGCCCGTAACTTACCTGGCACAGGAGTGGGGCAAGTAGCACGGGCTATGGTGAGCCCGTAACTTACCTGGCACAGGAGCGGGGCAAGTAGCACAGGCTATGGTGAGCCCGTAACTTACCTGGCACAGGAGCGGGGCAAGTAGCACAGGCTATGGTGAGCCCGTAACTTACCTGGCACAGGAGTGGGGCAAGTAGCACGGGCTATGGTGAGCCCGTAACCTACCTGGCACAGGAGCGGGGCTGGTGTGTAGGCCCCGGTTGTATCTTACAATTGGTTATAGTGAGGAGAGCGTATTAAGGCCCGGTGGGTTGACACGCGCCGGCTTACCTAACTGGGCTTGCTGGGAAGGTTGTGCTTCAGCTCTTCGATACCCGCCTCTCAACCGGCTATCGACTTTAGACAAGATTTCCGGAGCTGTTGAGCTCTATATTTGATGCTGTGTGCCGTCTGCTACTTTATGTTCTTGTTGTTAAAGATTCGCTACATGGAACAAAAAGTTCCAAGTAGCACGGGCTATGGTGAGCCCGTAGTACCTTTGCTACTCTATGCATTCTATTTTGTTTACCGCTCTTGATAATATTTTTATTTTAATGTTTATATAGATCAGGTATTTAGTTTCCACGTGTGTTCCCGTGTACTTACGATATAAAATTATCTGTTCATTGATTGATGTATCTCTTTCAATGAGACTTTTCAATGTATTAATCAAGTATGTCTTCCCTATTTCACCTCTTTTTTTCAGTAACATAAACTTTTATTCCTTGCACATTCTATCTTTCAGTTCTGGTTCCAGTCTAGTGGTATACCTAAAAATCTTCCTTAGCTTCGTTTTGCGTATAACAAGATAACGATTGCAAGTTGGCGTCGCTTATTTCAAAATTGGTTTGATATATATGGCGTGCAAGGTCCTGAATAACTCTTAATTTATATTTCTAATGAGTTCATATTTTAATTAGCCTTTTATATCCAGTTAATGATATTGTTTGATTATTATTTTTTTTTTGTAGGGATATTCCTCCGCGGGCCTTAAGCCTCTAGCTGGCCCACTAAGTGTTACTTGTTTCTGTTTTACTTGGGCGGAATATGAGTATTTATGACTCGTATGGTCGCTTCAGTAAGATTATGCCCAATGTATTTAACATCTTCTGTTCTGTTGAATCTAACTTGAAATCTTAATGGGTTTGTAACTCTGCACTGTGCTAGATAATGTTCCAGTGGTCTGTCGGGCATTTCTCCACGGTGCATTCGTTTGATATTGGCCTCGAGAGTCAGGGGCCAGATTCACGAAGCAGTTACCCAAGCACTTACGAACCTGTACATCTTTTCTCAATCATTG